CCCTAAGCTACTTTCATATTAAATTCACATTAAGCAATGTCTACCCTTTGAGCCACATCTTTTTCTTCCAGTTCAAATACTTAATGGACTTCATGATTTGGAAAGCGGAGGTTACTGGCCAGTGTGTGTAAAATGGAGGTAGGGTAGCTTTAGGTAATTTTTTGTGGTGGAACTGAATTCTCAAGGAGTCTTTGTTGAGCTCCTACCTGACCCCATCTGGGGGCCCTCGTCACTGAGCAGAGACCAGTCTTTCACATTCTGGTTACAGGAACTAAGCATCCCCAAAGCGCAGCAGGGCCAGCTTCCTTGTAAGAAACTTAGGTTCACATAATCATTTACTTAGGTCTCATGATCACAATGGAAAGGTCCAGCCTTGGAAAAGAGACTTGCCACAGATTTACTCAAGATGATACCGACACAGGCTTTGTGTCTTTCTGACATGGAGCCTTGAATTCTAGCGCCCTATCACTCCTATTGTTCTTTGGTTGCTTATTGTTTATTGTTCATCTTTTTTTCCCCTTTCTTTAGGTTTTTCTAAAGATATAAGAAATCCTGCTGGCTGCCACAGGAATAAAGGTGTGTGTGTTCTGAATATTTGCTCTAGAAGCTTGAAACAGATTGGCACCTATGGCCATAATAGAATAAAATGCTGCAAAAAGTAATGTGGATTCCGAAAGGGCTCATTCAGCAGAGATATGCAACATGTAAACCAAATCAAGCTATGCTGTTCAAAGACGCAGAATCTTGATCCTAGTCATCGTAATGGTGATTGTGTGGTGTTGGTTTCAGACAAACCCATCTCGGACATCCTTGGAATGTTCTTCCCAGGTCTCTAGACCAGGGCTCAGGGATGGCACAGGAGGAGTTTTGTGGGTTGCTTCTCCTGTAATCCCAAACCAACAGGAGTGATAGGACGTTAGAATTCAAAACCCCATGTCAAAAAGACACTAAGTCTGTGTCAGTATCATCTTGAGTAAATCCACACTGAGTTTCTTTTCCAAGCCCGAGCCTTTCCATTGTGATCATGAGATGTGAGTGAATGGTTATGAAATGAGAGTTTCTGTCAAGCAGACTGGTACTGCTGCAGTTTGGGGGAGGTTTTGTTCCCAGAACCTGGAATGCTTTCCAGGTTCATTGACGTCTGTTCCCTTTAGGTCCCTTGACCTTCCCCAGTTATTCCCATTGTTTTCCTATAAACCGTGCTTGGCTCCTCCCACTTCCTCTCCTTGCATGCCCTCACCTACCCCACAACATCCCTAAAGACTGTGCCTTATTATTTTCTCAACTCAAAGACCTGTTTCCTCATGGAATCAAGGTGGTTCCAAGTGGGGAACGCCCTGCCCTCCTGTGCTTCCCAAGTGCTCCCTTCCTTCTGGTTTAGGCTGCTTATGCAATTGTGCCTCCTGCTCTGGGGATACATTTTTACCTCTCCATTAGTATATGAGCTCTCTACAGGTATGGACTTTTTCTTATTCATGTATCCACTGGTCATTGAGGAAGAGGTGCCACTTCATCAGTTATTATACATTTAATGGCAAAGTTGAGGAGCACAAAGCATTTTCTCACATCTAGACATAATTTTGATTCATGTAAAAGCTCTTAAAAACAGGTCCTTTTTGAAGGTACAGTTACATGAGGACAACATAGCACAGAACACGATGAGAGGGGAGTAAACATCAAGAAGAAAGACAGCATAGGCTCTAAGAGGAAGCATCAAGATACCTGCCTGGCCCTGCCCTCTCTCCTTGGGACAGTTTGGTAGTTAAATCGTGAACTCTGCAGGTATATCCTACATGTCTACAAAGCTCTCTGCTTCTTGATCTTAACTCTTCACCTAGTGCATTTTAGAAGAAAAATGCATTTTCTTCTAAAATAATCTGTTGGATTTCCTAGAGTTTTAAGATTGAAAAAAAAAACGGAAGGAGGGAGAAAGGAGAGGGAGGAAAGCAGGGTAGGAGGAATAAAGAAAAGGGAGGGAAGAAACGAAAGAGGAAAGGAGGGAACAAAGGAGGGAAAGTGAAGAGGGAAGAAGAGAGAAAAGATCCTAGATGGCGTTTCCTTGCTTACTCATGGACAGGACTGGTATTAGTCCATTTCACACTGCTGTAAAGAAGTGCCTGGGACTGGGTAATTTGTAAAGAAAGGAGGTTTAATTGACTCATGGTTCTGCATGGCTTGGGAGGCCTTAGGAAACTTACAATCATGGTGGAAGGCAAAGTGGAAGCAGGCATATCTTACATGGCAGCAGGAGAGAGAGAGAAGAGACAAGCACCATTTTTAAACCATCAGATCTCAGGCAAATTCACTCACTATCACGAAAACAGCATAGGAAAAACTGCCTCCATGATCCAATCACCGCCCGCCAGCTCCCTCTCTTGACACGTGGGGATTACAATTGGAGATGAAATTTGGGTGGGGACACAGAGACAAACCATAATAGGACTCCAGCAATTCTTTCTCTCACCTGCTCCATCTCTTATTCTCTCTACTGAATCTATACCAACTAAAAGACAAACACTTCTTGGACACACAAGAGCTGTCTTCACCCAGCTTTTCAGGAAAACCCTATGAAAAGGGTGCCTACATAGTCCCCACATCCTACCACCCATCTTTCCCTCACTGCCACTTTAGCCTGACTTCTGTCAAGAGGGTCACAATGTCTCCTGCATGACCTCACTCACCCTGCCTCTATCCATTGATCTGACCACTAATTATGTGGTCACTGGCAGCTGCTCTCAGGTGTCCTTGCTCAAAGGGACACACAGCACACAGCCTGTGGAGGGTGGAGGAACCAATGGCAAGGTGGGTTTCCAGTAGGGTCCTCTGGGGTTAAAGAAGGGGTGAGAGGCAATAAAGAAGATTGCTTTCAGGGTGCAAGTGTAGGAGACAGAAATGTGGACAACAGCTCTCAGCCTCCACTTTACTTTCTAGAGGTATTATTATTATCAATATCATCACCATTACTATTTGCTGTGGTTTGAGTGTTTGTGTCTCTCCCCCAAAATTCATGCTGAAATCCAATCCCCAATGCAGTGGTATTAAGAAGTGGAACCTAGGTCATGAGGGCAGAGCCCTCACAAATACTTAGGACCCTCATAAAAGAAGTCCTAGAGAGCTCCCTTTCCCTTTCTACCTTGTGAGGCTCCAGTTAGAAGCCACCCTCTATAAAGAATGGGCTCTCACCAGACACCAAAGCTGCCGGGGCCTTGATCTGGGACTTTCCAGCCCCTGTGAGCAATGTGTTTCGATTGTTTAGAAATGACTCGTTCTAAGGTGTTTTGTTATAGCATCTCACATGGACCAAGGCATTGTCGTCTCATCATAATCATCATCACTATCACAAAAGTACGATTGCTGAGGCCAAGGGAGCAAAACCCTCAAGCCTCTGTGCTAAATTTACTTTTAGAAAATGTTTTACCAGAAACATTTTCCTATTTCAGATCGAGATCACTAAACTAGATCTCTATGTAGTAAGAGATTCAAATACTGATTCAAAGTTTCAAAGTTGAGACATTTAATCTCTAAGTTGCGCCTGGACCAAAAGAAAATGTCAGAAACATACTTAGTTCATCTACTGAGAGCGTCATGGAATTGTCTAAGGACAGAGGTAAATGAGGAGAAAGAATGAAGACTTGATCTATGGCAGGCTGAGGAGGGTCCTGGAGGAGGCCACATGTGTGTAGAGACACTGAGGACAGGCAGATTAGTGCATCCTTACCAGACCCTCTCCCAACCCAGCAGGTGATACATGGGCCAAAATATTAAAGAAGTCATTTACTAACCTTGTTCCAAAAATAATTTGACATTATCCTCACGTGATTTTCTAAGAGATGATGGATGAATGTGTTCTCTCCCCCAAGAATGAGTAACCAGAAAAACCCTCCCTCTCAGCATCTCCTCCCGGATGAATGCTTACCTGTGACAATGCTGTCTCTTTTAGGATGTGATTGTGGATGGTATGTAGTTAGAAGTACAAGTGTGCTCAACCTTAGCATAAAATCAGAAATGCACACTGATGGAGTTGCTGACATGACTTCCCAGTGGAAGGAGGTAGTACTCTTTCTCAAGTCTTTTCCCACCAGAATCTTTGGGCTGAGAGAGAAAACTGGGATGAGCTAAAAAGATAAGCCAGTACCATCAATGATCACTGTGTCCTGGGAGACCCCTGCGATTGGTCAATGTGTTGTTGACCATTTCCAGGGTGGTGATGGGGCGGACAATGGAGAGAGATGGTGATCAACTCCAAGGCTCTAACTAAACCTGCTGCAGAGAAATCTGTGCTTATTAACAAAGGAGTTTCCTTAAGGACAGGGTAGCAACACACACAGATTGCCTGGGGCAGTCCCAGTTTATGTCTGTTGTTCCAACTATCAGTAATAGGCTCCCAAAAAGTTTTTCTGTTTGGGTTATAAATTATTTGGTGAGCTTGCATAAGGGAACACTGGCCTTTCCCACTTGACCCACCATGACCCACCTGATGCAGACTTTCCCCCTGTGTGAGGAAAGTGCAGTTCAGACAGCCTTTTATGCACGGCCCTGCTCATTCTCTAAACCTCAAGCTCTTTTGCTGTCAAACACACATAACTAGTTTATCTCGCTAGAAATGTGTTCTTTTATTCAAAAAATGTCATCCTTCTTTCTTTTTTTTTTTAGCAAGAAAGACTGTAGAATAAGCAAAAGTTTTGATTGTTGGTAGAGTTCAAATCCCAGCTGAATCACTAGTTGTAGATTACTTGTTAGAGAAAATGTCTATCTCATATAAAATTATGTCAACTAAGATACCGCTTTCAAGATTCATGGTATGTGACAGGTGTCCAAGAGCGTTCATTTTTACTGGAGTGACAGTTAGAGGAGTTTCAATATAATTTCATTAAATTAAGTAAGCTTAAGTTATGGTAACATTAAATAAGTGAAATTCAGCAGGGAATTCTGTGTGTTCCTACAATTTTGCTCCCACTTAGAAGTGAGAACGTGTAGTATATGGTTTTCTATTCCTCTGTTCGTTTCCTAACTGAATTTAAACTCATTCCCAGACCGCTTGTCCCCCTCAAGTGATGTACACTGAAGAAAGAGCCTCCTTCAGGCTGTGAGGTCTTCCTATAATCCTGAACAATCATTTCCCATCATGAGACTGCTGTACCTTCTCCTTCTCTTTCTCGGATGTCTGATACAAACAGCCTCAGGTAAGCTACGAGCTCACCTGGAGGATGACGAGGTAGATGCCCTTGGAGCTGATGCAGGCCAAATTGATTTATAAGCCAAGGAGGCACGGAAATAGGGGGTAACTGAACAGCCGCAGGGCTGAACAAAAGCACAGCATGTACAAGAAATGCCATTTTACAACTCAGGAGAGAGAAGCTTAAAGAAATTAAAAAAAAACCTTTCCCAAGATAATGTGTATCTAGTTGTTGCAATAGATACCAGACTTAACTAACAATTGTGATAGATAACATTAACAGTAGGTAAACCATAGCTTACAAACCATTTCCATGAGATTCAAAACAGTGGCAACGACAACACTAATACTAATAGCAAATAATGCTGACCACTTTCTCTTGACCAGACATCAAAACAAATATTTGTTGTGTTTTAACATATTATCTCCCATGTACTCCTCATAAGAATATTTATGGGGCAGGTATTTTTAACCCTGTCTTACATATGAGACTAAGAAATGGCATCACTTGTCCAAAGTCACAAGGATTGTATGTGGCGAAGCCTAGATTCAAGCTCAAGTTGGTTTGGTTCCAAAGATTATGCTGTTACTAAATTCTCAACAATACCTGAAAATAAAAATGAACAGTTTTAAGTGTGGGTATGTCCCATGCAACACTTGGGACAAGCTTACACGACAAGAGGATTCGTTGTTTATCTGATATTCAAATTTAACTAGAGATCTCACATTTTCCTGGCAACCTCCTGTGTATGTCACATGGACCAGGTTACGCTGTGTCAAAAACAACATTCAAATCCTGGCATCCTAAAAAGAGCCAAGGTTTAATTCCCACTTCTGGTACAAATGCTTTGTGGCCATAGGGCTGCTCTGCTCCCTGTAGCTGCTCCACCCCACTGGTGGAGTGGCCACAACCTTGACTACTGCTGGCCACTGCAAAGGAAGGAACTCTGAGGTTCTCACACCCACAGGTAAGGGCTGCAGCCCTGCAAGGACACGTCACTTCTGCTCAAAATTTATTATCCAAGCAAGTCTCACTGGCCCTTCCTAACGAAAGGTAGGGAGGCAATCCTACTTCATGGCAAGAAAATAGCCAGATCTATTTGGTGAACAGCTTAACACCCTAATTGTGATAGATAGATAGATAGATAGATAGATAGATAGGCAGACAGATAGACAGATGATTGATGATAGATCAGATAGATAGATGATAGACAGAATATAGATGATAGAGAATAGATTAGACAGATGATAGAATAGCTATAGATATGGATGTGGTTACAGATATGAACATATATCTGTATCTATGTATATATCCTTCTTATGAGAGATTAGGAGCGTCTGTGACTCACAAAGGAAAACCTGGTTGCCCATAACTATAGTTGTGGTGCAGTAGGAATTAGAAACCAAGTTTCCCAATCTTAGGTGAGTATACTTTCCATCACAACGCCATGCCTTTAAAAGACATAAACTCTAATGGAAACCCTTCACACTCACTGTTTTCTTATGGTTGTTGGTCATTCTCTCTGGATCTTTAGACCTGCTCTCTGTATGACTAAGGTCAACCTCCTTGATGTAGGGCCATTTGCTTTCCAGCCTAGCTCCCTGAGCATAGGAAGGCAGTGCTTACTCCATGCCTCGGCTTTGACATTAAAAGGATCACAATTTATAAAAAAAACTCACACTTCACAGAATATGGGAGGCACCATACTGAGGAATCAGAATACTCAGGACCCCACTTTCGTTATCTATCCATTCAATACTTATTGACTAATTCGCACTCAGTACTTGGAAAGCTTTGCCCTGTCTAGACAAAGGAAGGCACTTGAGAAAGCTTTTATGGCGAGCATGTGGAGGGAAGTGAAATTTATAGTTCTAGCCTTGCAGCACAGTCAGAAGAGACTACTACAGCAGTCGGCAAGCCTTTTCTGTAAAGGGCTAGGTAATGAATACTTTGGGCTTTGTGGACCATGTGATCTCTGTCATAACAACTCATCTCTGCCTGTGTCGGATGAAAGCCACAGATGATGCGTAAATAAATGAGTGTGGCTGTTGTCCTCTAAAACTTTATTTATGGACACTGAAATTTGAGGTTCATGGAATTTTCATGTATCACCAAATTTTGTTTTGAATTTTTAAAAATAAAGATGTAAGAACCGTCCTAGGTTCGCACATCATATCCAAAGAAGCAGAGTTAGTTTTGCCCTGTGACCTTTAGAGTGCTAAACAAGATGAATGCTAGTAACTTTTTTAAAACAGGATTTTACTTTTTTGTTTCTTTACCCCTTCTTCCCTTGTAGGATATGAAAGAAAGGATGTATTCCTTGAATGTGAACACATGGGTGGTGCCTGCAGGCACCAAAAAACCCACGGATGCTCTATCCTGCCTGCACTGTGCAAAAGCCGGCACAAACACTGCTGCAGGCTGTAGCTGCAACAGCCAGAGGGGCCACAGGGTAGTCCAGGAGAACCACGGCCCCTGACTTCTGCTGAATAAAGCCGTCACCACCCATGGGACCCTGCTGCTGAGAGCATGCTTAACTTATAGACCGTTGGACCGGAGGCGGGAGAACTTAGAATCTGGGTTTGGTCACACCACTAACTCCCTGATGAATTTTGAATAAGGCCTTTCTTTTCCTAGGTTTCAGTTCCTGCACCTCTAACCACCGAAATGGGTATTTTCTAAGACACCCGTATGCTGCTTATATGTCTGTGAATCTATGGATTTTTGGATGAGGGCTGTGCGTGTGCACACGTGTGTGTGTGTTGGCTATAAGTTCAAAAGTCACAGAGGTTTTATTTTTGTTTTCGTTTTCAAGACAGGTTCTCACTCTGTGTCCCAGGCTGGAGTTCAGAGGTGTAATTGTGGCTCACTGCAGCCTCGAATCCCTGGGCTCAAGCGATCCTTCCACCTCAACCTCTCTAGGAGCTGGGACAACAGGCATGAGCCACCAAGCCTGGATAATTTTAAAAAAAATTTTGTGGAGACAGGATCTTGCTATGCTGCCAGACTGACCTCAAGCAATTCTCCCATCCAAAGTGCTGGGATTACAGGAGTAAGCTACCACACTCAGCTCTCACAGAGATTTTATTCACACTTGTTTGTATCCTTCTCCCTTAACAACTCTTGGGTATCCAGCAATGGATCCCAGTTGATTATTAAACAGCTAAGAAAATAAGTTGGCCTTCTACAGAAATATTTAACTTGGCACTTAGGCATTAACACATAGAATCAGAACTCAGACATTGCTGAAATCAACTCATCGATTTATAGAGCATCGAGATTTTGAGAGACAGTGATTATTTTCTTCTCTCCAAAGGTACCTTTCCAAATATCAATATTTCTTTAAAATCATTTTCTTAGAACCCAAGGAATTGTTTTCAGCATCGATAAGATCAAATTTTACAGTGGAAAGCCTGCTGATTAGACTGGAAATGTTTCCCATTTTGAAACGGTCCAGAAACAATTTCTGAATCATCTTTTCTTTTATCGGCTTCCTTTATTCAACTAAACTGAACTCTCATACACCATGGATAGGAATGCAAAATAGTATGGCTGCTCTGGAAGACAGTTTGGTAGTTCCTTGTAAAGTAAAATATACACTTACCTAATGACCCAATAATCCCCCACATGGACATTTATCATAGAGAAATGAAATGTATGTTCAAACTGAAAACATGTATGTAAACGTTTATAGCAGTTCTATCAATAATTGCCCCAAATTGTAAGAAACACAGCTGCCTTTTGACCAGTGAACTGACCGTGGTATGTCACGTAAGGAAAGACCACACAGCAACAATAAATGATTGATGCATTCAATAACATGGATGAATCTTAAAGGACTGTTGAATTAAGAAAGCCAGACATAAAGGCTACAGATTGTATGGCTCCATTTACATGACACTGAAGGCAAAACTGTAGGCTTAGAAACCAGATCAGTGACTGTCGGGGTTTCAGAGTCACAGGAGGGTTTGTCTCAAAAAGGTAATATGTTTTGGCTGCGTCCCCACCCATATCTCATCTTGAATTCCCACATGTTATGGGAGAGACCCAGTAGGAGGTGATTGACTCATGGGGGCAGGTCTTTCCTGTGTTGTTCACCTGACAGTGAATAAGTCTCATGAGATCTGATGGCTTTAAAAAGGGGAGTTTCCCTGCAAAAGCTGTCTTCTCTTGTCTGTTGCCACGTAAGACATGCCTTTCACCTTCCACCATGAGTGTGAGGCCTCTCCAGCCACATGGAACCGTAAGTCCAATAAACCTCTTGCTTTTGTAAATTGCCCAGTCTCGGGTATGTCTTTATCAGCAGTGTGAAAATGGACTAATACAAAGAAACTGGGGGTGAAGGCCATATAGAAGTGTGGCAGTGAACACAGGGCTCTGCATTTGCAAATCCCTCAGATCTCAACACCACAAACTTTGAATTTTACTATGTATAAAGTAGCCTGATGGGAAGAAAAATGGAATGCAGATTGTGACAAATAAATCTAACTGTATTAAAAATTTTGCACATAAAATAATGTATTAAATATATTACTCATTTCTGGTGTTTATTTTCTATCTCCCTATTATTATGTAAACACCACCAAGGTAGGAATTTTTATATTGCTTTGTTCACTGCTAGGTAAACGTTTATTGACAAAAATGAACGAATGAAAGTTAACATAATTGGTAATTTTCTCTGAGTAGTCAAACGATGTGGGGAGGCAAATCAGAATTCTACCTCACTCTACTGATTGTGAACATTATCACAAATTTGACAATACACACATGTAACATTTATATCTGGTGCTCCCAGCCTCTCCTCTTTCTTCATCCATGACAAAGTGTTCCCACTACGTTTTTCCCACTAGGGCTCTTTCCTTTCCCTCCCCTCCTCCCTGAGGTTTGTTCTACTACTACTGGACCAGTCCTGTGTGCTTGAATCAAGAAGAAAAAGGAAGGAAGAAAAGGAAATAGAAACAGGGGGCTAGAGCTGGGATCAAAAAAAAATTGGAGAGAGATGATGGTGAATCTGTGAATAATGAGAAAAATATATGGGAGAACAAAGGAGTTTTTCACTTCATGGCGAAGAAATACAAGTAAGAGACTGAGTTATTTCTAAATTACTAGCTGATTTCCAAGCTCTTCTGGTAATAGTAGATTATGTTCCTGATGGACAGATAAACTGTTCTGACACAGCATGCTGTGAACCCAGTTCATAGGCACCAAAAGTATTCAAAATCTAGTAACAATCCCTGTAAACAGACTGTATAGGAAGCCAGTGCCAATAAAAAAACAATTGGAGAAGTTAATATTTGTATCTTTATTTGGATATCTTTACTCATCGTTCATCTGCAAACCTGTGCTGAATTTTCTGTAGTTAACTCATCAATTGGGACCTGGTCATGGTTCTGTTTGTCACTCATCACAGTGCCAGCCAAACTCTTCTTTTCCATGTGATTGTTTAGGTTTCGGCAGCATGTTTCATGTTTGTGTGTCTCATGCTTCTCCTTGGCGTTTGCCTCCCCAGGCGCTTTGCAGTATTTGCAGTCTCCATCCTCCCACCCCAAACGTGCATTGTAAATTACAGAAAGCAATGGTCATCTCTAAGCTAACTCCCTCACCAGAGCAGATCACAGATGCTCGTACTGGAGGAAAGACTTGCTCAGGACACTACAGCTGATGCTGAGACCTGGACAAGAAAAGTGACCAAGGAAGGCACAAAATAATCACACTTATCCCAGGACTCCAGCCTTACAGCATAAGCCTCTGACATGCAACTGGAATTCCTACCTCTCAACAGGCTTCTGCCTGCATCTCCATGCGGGACTGACTACTTTGGGTAGTCTCTCTGGACAGGTGTGCCTCCCTCCTACCCATCCCAACACCACAATGCTCCCAGGACTGTACACCCTCAGTAAGTTCCTCCTACTCAGCCCAATACCCACTGCAGGGGTATCCTGAGACCAGCCCTGTATTCACATCTCCTCTCCCAACTGTAGCAATTTCTTTCGTATCCAGTCTCCCTTCCATGCACATAAAGCGTTGCAAATCACTGAAGGAAAGGTCTTAGACTGCGTGATCTTGGGCAAGTTATTTAACCAAAAAAATGCCTACCCCATCATGGGAAACATATCTTTCTTTAATCAATCCTAATGATTGTAATCAATTATCTGGGCTCGAGTGAGGTTTGCTCTCATTCAAACTAAAGGAGCCATACTTCAGATCCCGTGCCTGAGTTCTTTGTCGGGCTCCTCCATTAGCTTCTCCTTATTTTACAGCAAACGGTGAAAGCTCTGCAGGGTCCTCTGAAAGGCTCACAATTTGGTGTTCCTTGCTTCAGGCAGATTCCACCTCTAAGGTAGCAGGGTCTTTCAAAATTAAGTGCCCTAGTGATGCCTGAAAAATGGAAAGATGTTTGTATGAAGCCAACAGTCTGAGGAGGAAAGCAGGAGAATTCACCATGCGGATGGAATCTCCACCTTTCCCAGCTAAACACCAAAAGCAAGTGGCATTGATTCCAAGGCCTCAGCCTCTTCTCCCTTCACTCTCTCAGCTTGCCATAAGATCCCATTGTTGTTGATGTAACTAATGACCAAATTATCTTTCTGCCCTCTGGAATAAACAGGAGTTGGTTCATGTGTCAGGGATGTAGTATGATCAATACCTTTTGCCTGGGCCATCTCTCAAGGCACCGCTGCTCCCCGACCTCACGTGACCTGGCCCATCTCTCACAGTTTCTTAAGACGGAAGCCCTGTCCAGGCAAACTCAAGTCACCACTGTGATGAGTGGCATGAGGTCTCTGGTCAGGGCAAATACACAGAATCTTTGTCTCCACCCTAGTTTATACTGATCACGTGAGTCAGTAGATTTAGTCCTCAAATCATCCAATTCACTGGGGAAAAAGGGAGGAGTAGAAGATGGTGACCTAACAGGACTTTTAGCATCATAACTTTTAGCCAGTCACAGAGGAATATTTTTAGCTTTTCAGTAAGTTATTTTGGGGGGCATAGTGATGACCTCTGAGTACCCCCCTAATCCTTAACCTTCCAGCTGTTGTTGGGGAGAGGAAAAAATGAAACAACGACAAGAAAGGGCCATGATGTTGGTATTTACCGGGCAGTAGCTGGAAGATGGCAAAAAGAGCAGTGAGGAAAAAGTGGAGTCTCATCGTTACAGAGCTGATGTTCTGAAAGACCTGATGGGAAGAAACAAGAAGACAGTCAGACAGCTGAGGTCCTGTCAGAGGGACTTGCAGTGGTGTGATGAGCACAGAGATCAGCATCTCACTGCTCCCAGATCCTGCTCCTCCATCACAGCAGTGTCCATCTCTTCTGCTACCTAGTCCACAGCTGACACTTGCCTGGGTTTTCCTCAACACCTGGGTATGACGCTTTCCTCTGACCACCTCATATAATGGTGTCAAGGTGACGGAGAGGCCTGCAGGCAGGTAGTGGGGGCGAGAGTCAAGCTTTCCTAACAATAAAATAAAGAGGGTCCTTCGCAGGTGAGGAAAGTAATTAGAAAAGATTT